AGCGCCACGTAGGTCCAGGCAAAAAGCCCCCAGAACCAGGGGTCCCTGATGGTTTTCCGCACCTCCGAGTAGAGCAGCAGCTTCACCATCATGTAGATGCCCATGAGGAGGCAGACGACGGCGATGAAGGTCCGCGATGCCCTGAGGCGCCGGGGGCCATAGGCCGTGTTGGTGGCCACCCCGATGGCAGCCCCCAGCAGCACGCAGCTGCGGTAGAGGCAGCCCCCCCAAATGTCCAGCAGCGAGTTGAAGATGTTGAAGTGCCGCAGGTCCTGCAGGACATCCCGGCCACCCCGGCCATGGGTGTAGAGCAGCGTGGTGACCACCACATCAGCCCCGCTGAGTGCCAGTGTGCTGGCCACCGCCTTCCAGGCACGCATCCTCGCTGCTGGGCTGGGGTGGGTGTCTCCGAGGTGGTGGTGGGAAGCCCTAGCACGGGGAGGACGTGGTCATGTTGGCCTCTGCTGTGGGGTGAGAAGAGAGGGACGGGGTTGTTATTCACCCTGGGGAAGTGGTGGGGAAAGGGAAGCAGGATGCGGGGACAACCATGCCAGCTCCCCACTAGCCCGTCCTGACCCCAGACATCACTATCTACTCCTCCCTCCCTTCTCCTGCTGCATACACTCCAAGATATTTCGTAAAGTGAGACACACAAATGAGGACAAACTTCCCTCCCAGATGCCTCCACCCATCCTGAATCCCAAAGCAGAAATCTGCTCGTCTTGGTGGGAATCTTCATCCCCGCTTGGTGTGGCAGCTGCGGGGCCAGCCAGGAGGTCCCCAGCACCTGGGTGATGCTGGGACATCTGCGCAGCCCACGTGTCCTGCGCTACGGAGCCGTGTAGGTGTTCAGCTTGGACATTCGTGATCCGAGAGTCCCTCCCCACCTTTCCCAGGACAAAGCTGAAACCGAGTATTCAATCAAAACCATAAGAAAGCAGAAGGGAGAGCAACTCGGCTTTGTAACAGACGCCCCTCATCAAAAAAATAATAAATCATAGGTAGAGCCGCCTGTCACACCTTGCTGACCCCAGCCCTCTTAATTTGGGGCAACCCACTAAACCCTCTGCGCGGTCAGCATGCAATTCAGTGACACAACAAAAATCCCAAGAGGAAATTAAAAAGGGGTTGTGGAAATCCACAGCGGCGTCCCGTGGGAGAGGGAGGCTCTGGGATGGGACGCTGCCTTCGCTGTCACCGGTGGGTCTGACTGGCGGCAGCAATGGTGGGGCTGGATCTGAATTGACACAGAAAAGGGTGAAAAGCTCGACGTCCTTTAAACCGAGGGAGCTGCCCACCTGCTCCTGCGCCGTACG